GTATTGGCTTTTCGATGCCACTTTAACACATGTCACATTGAAGTTAGTGGGTTTTCATTGTTTCTTATGACAATAACAGGGAATACATTTGGATCCAAGCATTTATTTAATGGATGATGAGCATAAAACTACAACCTCTGTGACTGAAGGGCATCAACCAACCTCACAGTCTGTGGCATCGGACAGTAATTCTGCAGTGCAAGTGGAAGATAATACATCTGAAAGTAATGCGGAAAATAGCCAAAACCATCTTGTGCATTGTGCATCTGCTGATCAGGTGAACAAAGTCTCGGAATCTTTAGAGTCCATTGCTCTAGCAACTGCTTCTGAGAATAAAGGTAGATTTCTGCTCTTAACTCATTATTTGATATGGCATCTAGTTTTGTTTTGTGTATGCGTTCAGTATTAGTCCAAGTGAGTGTGCAATATGACAGTTAATTAATGGTTTTTGTGTTCATGCAGGTGAAACTGTTAAGGCTGCAGAAGTAAATGGAAGTACCACTAGAAAAGAAAAACCTGGCCCTGAACCAATAATAATACCCATAGTTCTGAAGATGGCTGAATTTGATCATAAGGTATGGTTGCTTTCTCTGTTCACTTTTGTATATCTTTAACAGTGAAGTATGTGAGAGGCTTGTTGGTGAGTGTAAATTTGATTTGGTTAATAATGTGGCACACTTTGCTAAACTTAGCATATGGAGGAGACACTAATCCTAATTCACATTTGGCAAAGCTGCAAATATTGGTGCTGTTTTCATGTCCGTTTCTTGATCTCTCTTTTGATGAAACCTTTATTTGTATAGATAGAAAAGCCCTCTAAGGATCTTGAACTAAACATTATGGATGATTCATTCAGTCCACTATTCTTGCGTGTGATATCATTTGTTGATTAGGCTATTCTGAACATAGATTTATAAAAAGATGGGTTCTTTTAATGTTCTATCCAGGCATAAATTGCAATGACACTGCTGCATTTTGTTCTTGATTTTAGAAAGATGTAATCATGTTCGTGCAAAGTTATTCTTAATGGTATGAAGGTGGCTCTCTTTAGTCAGGACTATCTCAATTGTTCCCTTTTAACGTCTCTCTTCTCACTTCTATATGATTTTCTAAGTTATAACCATACTGTATGCAGGCATTGCTGGAAGAGAGGATAACTACCCGGACATTAAGTGGTAAATGTCTAGTCCAGGTATTAATAACATTTCTGGGTTCTCATTCCATATAAACTATTGCTAACACTGAAGTTGAACTAGGTATCATCATGGAAGAAAAACAATACAATTTGACAAAAATCTTAGTAGGGGAACTGCATGGTATTGAAAGAATCTTTAATTGGATAGCTGGGTTAATATGAAGTTCTCTTTCTCAATCTGGAATGATAACAGTTGTCCTCTAACCAAGGACTATGATTAAGTACTGAGTTATACAGTATGATTCTATGAACATGGAGTAAACAATGGCATCATTTGGTGTTTGAAAAGTGGACCCTTGGAAAATTCAAGAAGTCATATTCATGTGCTTTCTTTAAGTAGTTTTCTTAAAGCCTTAACTCTAGCTTGCCTGGAGCATTGTGGCATATGAAGTCATGAGTTGCCTTGTGTAAGTAGTGGCAGTTTTTCACTCCAGTATGAAAACAATTACATGAATTTTTAGCACATGGTAAATTTTTCCAGAATTCTCTTAAGCCGGAGAGGTGTTCTGGTGTGAGATGACGCCTTCCAACCATGTCCATGTGTGCAAAACTTTTTCATCGTTGTTTCTGGTCAAAAGTGGGCATGGTGGTACCTTGGCTTTTCCTTTTGCCTCTCTCCGTACCTTTTCTTTAATTAATGTTTTCATTGTTTATTCCTTTGGTAAAATGTTTACTCAATCGACTTTCCTATTTCACTATTTGATGAATTTGTAACAATAAGTTTTCATTCTGTTATTTCTTATTGCAGGATACAGATAAGCTGATAACCAACTTGAAGACCATTCAAGATTATCTTTGCTCTTTTGAGTCACAGGTATGTCATTTCATGCCTGTTTCTTTGATTGTCAGGCTGTAACATTTATGCAGACTTAATATGGAATATATCTATTTAGCATTATAACATCATATTAAGGTATGTTAGTTTTAATGAAAAATCAGATTTAGTTGGGGAGGAGCATAACCATTGTATGCATCATATTTTGGGAAACCATTCTGTTAGATTGATGGCAAAGAAAGTGGGTTTCGTCTAAAATGTCCCTTGGTATAAAGGGAGTTTCTTGATTGTCTCATCATATTAAGTGTTTTCCTGGATGTGTCTTATGTAATTTCAGGTGTTGAATAAATTTCTAAGGCACTCTTTTCCTCCTTCCACTGATTAAGGAGCTTGGTTATAAGCTCCTATAATCAAGAAGGGGTTTTTAATGAGGCCTACAATTCTTATCAAAAAAAACAATATGATGTTTTAATGCTTTGAATTCTTATATGTTGGATTGCCCTGTCATTTTAGGTTTTTTAAAATTTTAGTATGATGTGAAGAGTGTGCAATAATGAGCCACCTTACTTTTTAGAGGAAGCAAACCAACAGGCATTTTCTACTCCCACTGAATTTTAGAAGCTTATTTTGACTCAACACTGAGGTCCTCTGGAAATGTTAGTGTTTGAACTTTTTGCTGATTTTCATGCATTTTTGTCCCTGGGAACAGGGTTTAACAGTTGTCAATGTATCAGCAACCACATTTCCACAGACATTGGATTGGTTGCATGGGTACCTTCTTCAGGTATTACACGTTATCTCATTGTTAACAGTAATAGCCACAACTGATGTGCCGCATGATGGTTTCTTCAATGATTTTCCAAGTTGCAGTCTAACATAGTATCGATACTTTAGTTTTGTTTTTACTTGGCTCTAAATTCAAATGATGCTTTTAGTCGGAAAATGAAACAAACTTGAAACTTGTTTCTCCAGTTCAGCTTTGAAAATAGATTAAAACTTGCTTTCTCTTATTTTTATTGACAGTAAGCTTAGATTGTGCAAAAAATTCGTAAATAGTAGATTTTGCATCAGGTTTTGTAATGTGAAAACACAGTGCAGGCATTTAGGCAAGAGTTTTGGTATCATTAAAACTTGAAACAAGAAGGAAGTATATGGCAATTGTCATTCTCTTAAGTTTGTGACAATGTAAAACAACCATTCAAAATGACAGGCTATAAAGCGTTTTTAATATCCATAAACTTCACTAGGAGTTTGGTAATAAGTTAAATACCTGAAGAAGCAGTTGATATTAAGTATCGGCCACCATAACTTATGTTTTCTGATGTATTTTACTCGTTTCCCCACCTCATGGTGACCCTTTTTGTAGTATTTGATATTTAGCTTTCTACCAAACTTGCATGTCTGTTAACAAGCATCCACTAGCATAGCTTGTCATACAGTATCTTGAAATACTGTCATAAAATTTCAGCATGAGGTGTCTTTCTATATTCTTTTATCAGCATAAACTAATGTGCTCTACTCTCTTAATAATCCTTTCTCTAGCGCATCGAGCAAGGCATTTCCTCGGCATCTAATGAACACAGTAGTTCAGCTGAAAAATAGTTGACGGGCTGCCATTAGCCTGAGCAGGTAGAGGTAAGAATGCGGCCTTCAATACTTTTCATACTTGTGTTTGTGTACCATAGGTGTGGAAGATAGAGAATCCAACTATCCTCAGCACGTTCCTTGATTTGCTTTTTAGGTAGTTTTTACCATGGTTTGGGTTTAAATCTGGTGATATCTATATAATGTTATCTGTTTTTCAGGGCTGAATGAAGGGAGAAGATAATACATTTGTTGGAAGAAACTACATGGATTAAGCTGTTGAACTTTATGCGATGAATTTTAGGAAATCAAATTAAAGCAAAGATTCTTGCAAATAATTAGCTGAAATGTGTATTGGATGATGTGGTGTTGGAGAAGATTGGTGTCCCTCACAACAATTTTTATCGCAAGAGAACCACTTATCGTTTTACAACCTCTTTTGGCAAAGCCTGTGTATTCTACCTCTTTCAACACTTTTAAAAGGTCAAATAAATTTCACCATTTTCAGAATTTGATCCATCATAATAATTTACAGAATTAGTTCAATTGTTGTTAAATACATTAAACTGAATTGTTGACTTTTGCTATTGTGGTGTTTTTAAATTATAAAACCATTTATTTTTGTTGACTTTTTTACATATAAATTGTTGATATGTTTAATAGATTGATTTATTTAGTTTTTGTATGGTAGAAGGATTAAATTTGTCGATGGTTAAGAGATGACATGAAGGAACTCAGTTCATGAGTGAGTCCCATTTACAATTCTCCTAGGCATTAGTATTTTATTATTGACTAAAATTTTATTAAGCTTGAGACCGGTAGAGCACGCGTGATATGTAATATTGCAATGATATATGAGGGATGGAGATAGGGTTGTAAATGAATTGGGTTCAAATGAATAATATTGTGTTTATGTTCGTTTATTTACTTTTAGGTGTTTATGTTCTTTTAAATTTTTAATATCATGTTCGTTTGTTGATTTTTGAATGTATTCTTGTTTGATTTATTTAATGTTCGTAAACATGTTTGCAAAAATTATGAAAGTACGCCACTAGTCCATAAGCTCCTTAAGTTTCACAATTTGAACTCCAAACACATTTTATTCAATTTAGTCATTACCTTAGCTAATATTTCAAATGTAAAAAAAAGAAAAAGGAGAATCAAGTAAAGAGACTTATGAGCGAGTCGATAAACGAACTTACAAACGAGCTTTTTTATGAATATAAACGAACTGAACAAATACATGTTCGTGTCCTTTCTTTTATTAAATAAACATAAAAAAATTGTCCATAATTGTTTATTTAACTTAATAAATCAATATAGACAAACGTTATTAGAATGGTTCATAATAACGCTTTGTTTATTTACATCGGGGGTAAAAGGGATATATTGATATTTAGAAATTGAAAAATAAAAAATGTATATAGACTTTGTTGAACTTTTTTATCAAATCTCGTAGTCCCAAAGATCTTGAAGAGACTTATAAGGACTTGTTGTGTCATTAACAAGAAAGTCGCCTCTCATGATCTTCCTCTCCTCCAACTTGTCAATCTCAATCAAGTCTTCATCATCCAATTTGAGGTCCAAAGATGCCGTGTTTTCCTTCATCCTCTCGGGATTGAAACTCTTCACAATCACGCTTGCTCCCCTCGATATCCCCCACTTCAAAGCCACCTTCATTTCATCAATTAACGATACTCGTTTATGTTACAAGTAGTGATGTTAATTGGGTCAATCAAGGTAGCTAGTTACATGGTATAAAAGAAAGTGAAAAGAAGAGTGAAGTACCTGAGCAGGAGTTGCTTTATGTTTGAGAGCAATGGATGTGATGAGTGGATTTTGAACAACAGCGGTGGATCCCCATGCATTTCCAGGTCCACCTAGTGGTGAATATGCACTCACATGGATGTTGTGCTTCCTGCAGCTTTCCCTAAGCCTCCTTTGCCTCCACATTGGATGCATTTCCACCTGATTAACAGCAGGAGGGACTGAAGCAAAATCTAACAAGTTTTCAATCTTGTTGGTGGAGAAATTGCTAACACCAATGCACCTACACAAGTCCATGTCCAAGCATCTCTGCATCCTTTCCCATGTGGTCTCCATGTCTAACTGCTTTTCAAAGTCTTCTTCCTTTGGCACAGCATCAAATGCCCATGGCTTCAGTTTCACCGGCCAGTGCACCAAATACATGTCTATGTACTCCATCCCCACCCTCCTACAACATACATTCATTTCAAACCATTAACTAATAACTATTACTAATAAAAAGGTTTCGTAAAACCTCAATGGTTAAAAAGAGTATTGTTCTCCCTTGAGGTCTTAGATTCGAGCAACTGCATCTGTAGGGTGTGTGCGTTGTCAATGACTAAAAAAGATTATGAACAGAAACTATCTTGTAATCACCCTAAACTACACCTGAGAGTGTGTTTGAGTGCCGAAACAGGATCATGGTGATCAGCGCTCCATAGTTTAGAAGTGAGGAAAACATCTTCTCTTGGGATGATTTGATCCTCAATTGCCATTCTTAAAGCATTTCCAACAGCCGGCTCCGATCCGTATATTTTTGCAGTATCAAAATGCCTGTACCCCATCTGCAATCTCTCTTTTAATCCATTAGAATCTCTCATGCTATCCAAATAGAGGAAAATATACTTACATTCGCATGCAACATTCATACATACATGTATGCATGCATATATTCATATTGCAAATCTCATACGTACCTTGAGAGCCAAATGGATAGCTTTCTCAGTTCTGTCGTTATCATTATCAGAAGAATAAGTACCTAATCCAATCACTGGAATTGTTATCCCACAATTCAACCGCACTTCATCGCTCCTCATTTTCTTTATTTATTATTTCTGTTTCTCTCTGAGAGTCTCAGTTCATATATGTCCCCCTTAACTCTATGGTTTATATATATATATATATGATAGAGTTGGGAAAAGTCAACTTTTATGATCAAGTGTTTAATTTCCAGGAAGCATCACATGGGAGGTGAGTTTAGTGAAGAAGAAAAAAGTGAGGATTTTCTTCCCATATCAAAGGGTGGGATCTTCCATGTCTCTTGGGATTTTATCGGATATGCCCTTTCAAAGAGACAGTCGGACAGTATCCTTGAGCTATAGAGTTATTTTTACAGATATATAGAGAGAATTACATATGATAAGCCGACCATGGAATATTTAATCTAATCATCATGCAAATACCATTTTGCATATATACATGTAAAATTTCATGCAACTATCTTAGGAATAATCACGGTTGTAAATGAGTAGAGTCAAGCTTGAGTATTGCGCAGTTCGACTCGACTCGACTCGAAAGTTCGCTAGCTTAATATTGTCAAGTTCAACTCTAATTTGAAATAAAAAGTTAAAGCTCGACGCGAGCACAAAAAAAACTTGAATTCAAAATTTTCTAAAACTTAACTTAATTGAAGCTTGAACTCGAGCTCAATTCAAGCTCGAACTTGAATCCTAACTACATGAAAATCTTATATTACATTTAAAAACATATAAATATTAATATTATTAATAATTTAATTTTAAAATAAAAAATTTAATATCTTAGTTTTTTTAGTTACTCGCAAGCTTTTTTATTCGAGTATCAAGTAGCGCACTTCAACTTGTTAAAAACTTGAGTCGAGTTCGAGCTCGAGTCAAATCCATACGAAGGTTGATCAAGCTTTGACCAAATCGAACCCAAGTAGCTTGCGATCTGTCTCCTCTCATTTGTAGCCCTAGGAATAACCTATAAAAAATAAAATATTTTAGTATATAATCCTATATTTTTTGATATTTTTATTGACTTCTCGAATATATCTTTTATTTCTAATTAATTAAAAGAAGTAGAATTTAAGTCAACTGAATTTATATATTGCGTTGACTAATATTCGAATGAGATTTTCTATTCTTAAAATATTGTTTTAGGCGGTAGCTCTCTAGTTGACTTTTCCCAAAAACAATGAAAAAAGTTACTTACATATAGTAAGAAGTACCAAAATTGTTTTAATTTACGTTTAATTAAATGTTTTGACAATTATAAGTGACTATATTTAACTATCACATTAAATATATATATTTTTACATTATTTTCATATAAATTCTTTTAACCAATTATTACTATAGATGATAGTTAAAATTTTGTTGGTAAAATTTTATTATGTTGATGGACATATGTATATATATATATTAAAAGTAGTATTTAGGTCAATGAAAATAATTTATATATTGGGTTGACAAATTGGTGAAGATTTTTATATATCTTGGTTTATGGTTTTGGTCGTGGAGGGCTGATCTCTAGTTGACTTTATGCAAAATTCAAAGAGAGGACAGATGGGAATTGATGTTCCTTGCTGTTTAATTAATTATATATACATGAATAGAGTGATTTTGGTAGTAAAAAAATTATTGTTATTATTTGAGTTTGTATGCTCGAGTATAACTAATGTCAAATGTGTAAGTGTTTAATATCAAACAGTTGAGAATTACCTTTAAAGAAAATACTACCTTACATTTATCTCAAATTAATCGAAAATGATTTATATATGCTTAAGATAAGTTGAAAATTAAGAATAAATTGATTCTTTTGTACATTTTTGTTGTATTTTCGGGAGAACTCTTCCACAAGCTATAATTCCGCAACAATTCCTTTACATTTCAAAATTTCGGAAGTTAGTCCTTCAGAGTTCCATATCTATTAGATAACTATAATCCCTTAATAAGATTGTTGGCATGCTTGCCAAATTTTTTGTTAGATGATCGTATCTATTTATTCTATCCGTCTACGAATAATCATCATAACCCTAAGTTTGACAGTAACACTAAGAGCCAACATATAAATCCTTATGTAAGACTGAGAGAGGGACTTGAATTTTCTCTCATCTACATATCACTCATCTTATTTAGCTTGTAACATCATAACTTATATATATCTCGATATACGAGTTACAGATGTCACATCAACTTAATAAATATTTACTGAGCATAAAGACTTAAAAAAAATTTACTTTCTCTGTTTCAATTTAAAAACTTTAATCTTATTAATATGAAATCGTAAAATAAATTTAATCATTGAAAAAAGTCCATTTTCAATCAGTAAGAAGGCAGTTCAGAACTGTTCATATTTATATGTATCACTGCCTAAATACTGTTTAATTTAAAAACCAATTAAAACCAATCAAAATATTTATTTATAAATACGATTATAACTAAAATTAACCAAACATTAAAACAATTCTAAATTTCTATTCCATACCCCTTTTAATATAAATATGATAAAGTAACTCAACGGATAATGTACATGTTACTAATAAGTTAAAGTTAGGATGTCTTATTGATACTATCGGTAGGTTTGATTTTCCACAAGATGCTGGCAAGCTCCTCAATTCACGTATTCTACTATATTTGAACCTACGCATGAAAATCATCACGCGCTAAGTAAAACTTAGTGAGGCAAAAGTATAGCTAAAACATAAATTCCATAAAATATAGGCAATAAAATGTAATTTAAATAAAAAAATTAAAACTTCAAACCAGGCTAGTCAAGTCAAGTCGTTTCCCTTATGAAAACATGAAAATCATCATCTCATGATTTTATCAAAAATCATGTAAGTCGTCATCAAATATCATAAATAGCTTTTATTCTTTTCATTTAAACATATTTCAGAACCTTCTTTTCAATTCTATATTCCTTTCTATATACAGTAATAAATTTCACATTTGCTGTTATAGCCCAGTCTATACGCAAGAGAATACAAGATACGTGAATTAGACGAGTGCTATCATATCAGAATTATAATATGCACACAAAATGCAATCACATCTAAAATTATACTAGTGTACCCACCGATAACACCACAGATATCACATCAGAATCAGAATATACACACAAAGTGCAATCACATCAAAATATATATATACTAGTACACCCACCAGTAGACAACAGTATATCAAAATCGGAACATATAAGCACACACTGTGTTATCATATCAGAATCGTAATTTGCACACAAAGTGCAATCACATCAGAACATATATTAATGCACCTTCAGGTAACACCCCAGTATATTAGAATCATTCCACCTCATGTACCCACGACTCTCAATGCAACATACAATGGGCTTTCAGTTCATATTTCATTCATTTATAATTAAACATTTCCAATCAGTAGCATTTTTCAATATCATTCTCATAAAAAATCATAATTTAGGGCAGTTCATACCCTAATCATTCATAAAATATCCATGCGAACATTATATAAATAATTCGTATTTAAAATAGAAAACATACTTTAAAATAATACGAGGTTGACTTATCACAAGTCGTCCTCAATCAATTTAATCGAATAAATTAATGTACTCATTTTAACACTTTACTTATAATCAAAACATAAGCCTCACTAAGTTTTAAGTCTAACCCTTTGATTTTCATTTCTTCAACTACACAGTTTATCAAAATTTAATATTCTGACAGTTTGTACAACCTTTAAAGAAATATTATTTTGTATTAATCTACATAATGAAAAATTATTCCGTTTGCACCAATAAAAATAGACTAGAATATGAATCTAACTGTATAAAGCGCTTTGTCTAGTTCAACTTGTACAATTTATAGCAATTTTTGAAAGTTGACTGACAGAGGCTGTTTTGGGCAGAATTTGTTACCCTGTTTTCTGACCTATCACCGATTAAAAATTCATATCTTTTTTTATACTCCTCGAAATCAGCTTCTGTTTGTTCTAAACGAAACTAGGATATGAATTCAATGGTATAATATTCATCCTCTAATCATTTTTATAGAATTTCTAGTAATTTTCTAAACTTACTATTTAGAACATAATTTCTAGGCAATTTCACCAACCAATTGTCGTCCTTAACTTATTCACTAATTATATTAGCTTACTAAATGAATATATAGGCTTGAATCACACTTTAAATAACACTAAAAGTCACTTTTTAATGTAATTATGACACTGGATCATCGCAAGTCTATGTTTATTCGAAACATAAATACAAATGAAATGCACTCACCTTTACCTCATTATCGAATCTTCTCCACGATAATATTATAATTTCGCATCTTTTCCTTCTCTTTTGAGTTATTTGGATAACTAAATTTACTGTAGGTTGACAACGTCATAAAACATCATAAAATATTAGTATCGAACTAACATAATTTAAACTTAAATATAGTTAAAAATAAAATTGATACTTAAATCGATATAAAACTAAATCGTACTTCCATCATAATTCAAACTTCTCAAAACATTCCTTAAATTCCATGAATATTTAGTTTCATTGTCAACTCTTCAACTTTTACTAATTTCATAATTCAATCACTAATTATGAATTATTTTTAGAATTCATATCAACTTTCCTATTTAATTCACAATGGTCCTTCACCATTATGATCACTTTACATTAATCGCATAAAATTTATAGCACCTTACTAAAATATCCAATTCAATCCTTTAACATTTAAAATATTGTAATTTTAACCCAAACTTTCTTAAACTTTCAATTTCAATCACCCAACTTCATAAACTCATAATTTGATTCAAGCTCATTAATTAAACTCAAAAACCAGCATGATAATACTATTGTCCAGCATTGAAATTTCTTGTTCAAAATAATACCATCACCTTTATAAAATCACAATCAAGTCCCTAAAGTTTTAGGAACCTTTCGAAATCATCCACTAAAATTATGAAACTTGAAATTTTAGTTCCCAACAACTTTCCTAACTTATAAATTCCAGCATATTATCCTTATAAATCAATATTAAGTCCCTTAAATTGTACATTTTCACATTAAAGGCCCAAACTTCTCAAAACTTGTACATTAG